AACGAACTCTCGGCATGCGTGCCAAAAAAAGAACAACAACAATAACAGCAATAACAACAAATACTACAAGGGGTAAAGAATCAAAAGAATTGCTTTCTCATATGGCAACAAACTTAGATGTGGCTCATTTAAATTGCAAACTAAGCAGCAGCTATAGCTTTTGCTATAACTCATTTCGTATGCCATTTGGAATCGAGTCAGCGGAGATTGACGGCTCCACCATCTGTGGGAGCAGCAGCAGCAGGTGGTGGTGTCTATAGATACTGTATATATAGTTATAGGGGAAAATCTATATCGGAATCGAACAGCTGCAGCTAATGACCTTGATATTGAAATGATCTTCGTGTGATCATTTTTGCATCGCAATGAGTTTTGATTTCATTTCGCTGTTCATTCATCTCGTCTTGTTTCGTTTCGATTTCGTTTCGTTTTCAATTTATTTGTTTATACAATATTTTATTGTTGCCGCTGTTGGAGCGTGTTAGCGTGCGATCAGTTGTCGAGTCATTTAAAGTCAAAGTCAAGGTTTTTCTGCCTTACGTCGCCAATTATGTGTCTCTATCTCGCTCTTACAGCCGCCCAATTCCGTACCCGGCCCATCGTGCCCTCTCTCTTACACTGCCGGGCAAAAGTTGTGTGTGTTTACCCCCATTTTGTTGTTTGTGCGATTTGTTTAAGCCCAAACTGGTTTTTGTCTAATTATTTTTGCTGCCGCTGAGTGTTACTTTGTTGTTTTTGCCAATGTGATTATTAAATGTATATATCTACTATAAGGAGAGAGGTATATATATATGTATATATGATTTTTCTAATGAAATGCTAGTGGCTAACCATCATCATTCTGCCATCTCCCATTTTTGTGGCCAAGAAATTTTAGCTGCTTATGCCATTTTTCTAGCCTGCCTGTAATTAATCATTATACTCTGTTTTTATTCTCGTTCCTTGTGTTTTTTTGTGGGCTTTTTCAGACTGAAACGTGTTTTATTTTTTTCGGCTTGTTATATAACCTTTCTATCGGAAATTTTTCGATTAGCATAAACTGTGTGTGAAAGTCTTCGGCGGCCGCAAATGAAGAATAATAAGATGCTGTGTAACATCATCATGGTTTAAAATTAAACCCATGTCATAAATTATGGTGCGAGATATCGATGAGAAAAAGTTGCAAATCAAGAATACCAAAGCAATTAAGATGTCAATATTAAAAAAGAAGAGTTTTAATAAAGAAAAATTAACCAAGAATAAATTAAAGGAGAAGTTTTTTTTTGCCAATAGAAAATAGAAATTAGCTAAGAATTAAATTCAAAAGAAATGATTTAATGGGAAATGACAATGGCAAAAGATTTATTCAAATACTTCCAGAAAAACCAGAAACTACCCAGCAAAAGAAAGCTTTCTATAGAGAACTTTCGGGAAACGCCTTCCATTACTATCTTTCAGTTAAGTTCTGTACTATATGAACCCCTCAAACATCATCTATATAATTAAATATATATATTATTTTTACAAAAACCCCAAATAGTAGTAAAATAAATCATAATAAGTAATGTACTCACCATGTTCTCCAGTTAAATGCATATCCGTTCCGCGTTCGCTGATGATCTGAGGTTGACTGCTAATGCTGCTGCTAAATTTAAATCCATTACGCAATAAATCCAATTCGAGGAGCACTTTTTGTTGTTTTGTTTTGCAAAATCTTCCTTTTGCCGATATATTTTGATATAATTATTTTTCAAATATAGTTAGCATACTATATTGTTACACAAAATGCACTGGTTTTCTCTATTTTGGGCGGGGGACTAAAAATTGAACTAATTTGCTGAGCGGGGGGCGGGTTTTTTTTTAGGGATTTCGATGTCACTTGTTTCACAAAACACTTGAAGAAGGGGTTAAAAGCACATAGGTAGATTTTTGTTGTTTGCGGTTCAGAACCCCTGGATTACATGGGTATTACTATATTGTCTGATCTGATGGATTTCGGTTCTGGAAATCATGTCTCGATCGTTTTGTTGCTTACGGGAAACTGAAACTGCGGATGAGTCGCTTCAGAGTGTCGCCGCTGCCGTCGTTAGAGGCTTCTCAAGGCAGCGCTGTCGACGTTGGCCGAGCAGACAGATACATAGACTTTTCAGCATTTCATTACACGGCCCGCACGCACACACACACACACACACACACACACACACACGCCGCCGCTTTCTTTCTCTTCGCACACACATACACACTTGTGCGGAAGAGAGAGCAGCTCAGGTGTATCGGGTTCTTGATCAATCCCACAGATCCGCGGCTCATGCTCTCTCCTTGGCTCTCTGGCTATCTCCTTCCCGCTCTCTCACTCGGCAGGCGGGCCAGAACTTTCATTCAAGGTGAGCGCGCGCGCAGGTATCTCTTCAGCAGCAGCGCACACATACCTATGCATGCCCTTGGAGCAGCCGGAACACACTCTCTTTGCAAATAGTTCTAAACGCCTCTAACACACTGCCGCAAATTGAGCATGCGAGCGTAAAATTACAACACCAACTAGAGTTTTTTGTATTTTTTTTTTTTTGGTACGTCTGTCTCTTCTAACAAGTTTAGAATCCGCGCAAGGCAAGCCAAGCGCAACAACCACTTGTTCTCGATTCTCTTAACCCGTTCCTCTCTCCCTGTCTCTCTGGATCACTTGCTCTTTGTCTCTGTCTCTGTCTCTCTCTCTCTGTGTTGGCCATAAGTTTGCATGGCATGTAATTGGTTTGTTTGCTCATGATTTGTTTCTGTTTCAGTTAGCTTTTTGGTGAGTGTTTTTGTTACTTTTTTGGCATATCAAATTTCATGTTCCCAACACAATTGGCAATAAACGGACAGACGTAAAGAAAAAATCTTATACAAAAAAAAAACGGGGAAGTGAGAGCTTTTTCACATCACTTTACAAGGTTACTTATCACTGAAATGGATTACTTAACTTTGATATTTTCTAAATGTGTCACATTTTTCAATTTCACATTTCAGAATTCACAATTATTATTCCTATCATAATTATTACAATTCTTTCATTATGTATTCTTATTTAAAATGCATTAGATTAATCATATTAATTACAACTTCCTATTTACTAATATTACTTTTAAAGTGATTTATGTTTTTAGCCCTTACATGGTAACTTAAGTTTTTTTAAGTATATCCCTCAAAAAGTAAATTAATTTAATTTTGAGGTAAATAAACATAAAACTGATTTAACATTTTTTTAAATGTTTAACACCTGCTTAACTTAGTTTCGATTGTATTTGTATTGTTATTTGAATAGTTATTATTTAAGCTTGCTAAGGACAATTAAATACCTTTCAATTTAGAACTTATAAATAAATGTATACTTATAAGTAAAAACTAAGCTATATAAATAGTAATTACTTAATAATACCAAAGATTATTATATAGGCTATGATAATACCTAATAATACCTAATAATACTAAAAGCCATAAATTTTTATAAAATAATAAGTACCCCTTTTTATCATGCTTAATATAAATTCTTGTAGTAAAAACTTGGTATATCCTTCTTATTACATAAGTCCAGCAAATATTGCAAATTCGCAGAAATTAATACTTCTACTCAGGTCTCTGCATAAATATATCCCTTTAGTTTACTATTAAACCTCTGTATATATTAATTTTCTTAAGACAAGTACACCCAAGTATTCAATATTCAATTATAAAAGAATTGTTAAAAAAAAGTAAAAGTCAAGACTGAAATGCTTCTCAATAGCATTAGATGTCTTTGCATAAGTGCTAGTCATTGCATGACTCAATAGCCAACTCCAAACCATTAATGATCTAATCGAAGTCAATAAAACGAAGCTATAAATACTGTGTAAAGCACTTACCGAACGATCACATTTTGGCCAGATACGATGAACTTCCTCTTTAACACTCTTTTTTTTGCTTTTTTATTCAGTCGTAAAAATTAGTAGTTGCTGCAAAGGAAATACGATCAGATAAATAATCAGTTACCAAGAGAACACATTCACATAGGTATAGTACGGCTATAATAATAAGTGCCAAATCATTGGCCGAGACAAAAGGCTTTAACGAAAACTAATTGAAAAATGAGCATTTACATAACTTAAGTGTAATTAACAATGTGAGGGGAGCAGCCGCGGGGAGTAATCAATATATTTTAAGCCGGGCTTCAACTCCAACCTTGAACTTTACGCTTCATGGTTAATAGTTGGTAGAAAGACAATAGCCAGAGGATTGTGCGAATCAAAAGGCAATCCGCATATCCGTTTTGTGGCCGGGAAAAAGGCCTAAACCCCTCCGCTCATTAGTTTTTTTTTACCATTGCCATCATTCTCTATAAATAACAATTGAAGCATTAAAGTTTAACCAAAAAGCACAAAAGGAAAAAAAAGCGAAAGACTCTGTGCCCCAAACTGGGATTAGAACTCTTTTTTGTTTCGGCCATTAGAACTTTTTTGTGGCTGAAAGCAAAATCCCATAACGATGGGGTCAATAAATTCTTAAACACAGCACGAGCATGAACATAATTCTAATAGTTAATACATCATCACGCAGGGTAGGTAAAAAAAGGGAGAAAAAAAAACTAAAAGTGTTTTATGCAAAATGGCTTAAATGGTCAATAAATCATCTTCATCAGAAGTGGAAAGATGTTTATGGAAGAATAAATACACGTGTCGTAAGCATTTACAATCAGTTTTTATTATAAAATCATTAAGGTAATTTAAGTACCTAGTAAATATTTAAATTTGTGAATGTTATGAGTGTTCTTTATGTATAAGTATTTATAATTTTACTTACAAACCTTATAATTAGAAAATACTAAGAAACACAATACCTTTTATATATAAACAATTGATAATAAATACGATTTAATAGTATTTTTACTTTAAACTTGCAAATGTTGGTTAGTTTCTATTTACAAATACATAAACGAATAAAATCTTTCCATTTGCTATATTTATAATCACATAATTTGGTGATATCTGATCTTGCATCATTAATTTCAGACTATCCCAAAAAGGAAACAACTTTCAACTAAGTTGAATAAACAAAAGTGATATCTTTCGGGAATTTAGCATAAAACTATTGCGTCGCAGGGAATGGAATCTGGAATCTGGAATCCACAACAAAAATCCCATATATTCCATGCCATAATTGAAAGTAAAGAAAGAAAAAAAGGAAGGGTAAGCATCTCTTTTAAATAAATATGAACTCGTATGGGGCTAAAAGCAAAAGCCTTTTGGCAACAACAAGTGCGTTTTAGGCGCGACCAAAAAATTGTATTATTTAACACCCAAAACACACTCTCATACGAATATATATATATATGTATATATAGAAGGTATATGTGTAGTTAATGGGAGAGAGAGAGATACGGGCATGGCATGCGTAGGCCCAAAAGCCGGCATCTACAGCTGGCCGGGCCCGGCTTCTTGGCCAACTCATCATCATCGGCCAGCCGCCTTTTGCCCGCTTTTGATGGCTCTTTTCCCTCTCTCTCTTTCTCTCTTTCGGTTATATTTTGGGCGCAACAATCATTTCTTTTCATTACATTTCATTTCGTTTTTTTTTTTTCGGTTTTTTGGTTAGCCAAGTTTATTTCAAGCTCACGCACACACGCTGGCCAGGTTCAATGACTTCTTACCAAAAACGAAAGAACGCCGAAAAAGAAACAACAACAACAATTTTTCGGTTTCTGTTTTTTTCGGGAGGGGGTTCTGTTGTTGTTTTTGTTGTTTTTTTGTAAGGTTTTTTGGTTCTTCTTCGTGGCCGCTTTGTGTTCTTGTTGTTTTCGTTTTTTATACATTTCGTTTTCATTGCTGGAGTTCATTGGCCAACAGCTAAGAGCCAAAGAAGCTGATGGTTTTTTTCAATAAATAAATGATGGTTGAAATGAAAAGGCGTACACAGGAAAGTTCCCAATGAAATATATGTACTTTTAGATATGTACATAAATATACACATATTTACTTATTTATTACATTGGTTTTCGTTTTTGTTTTTGTTTGGCAAGAAAAAGAAATTCTTCCCCTTGGCTTTTATCCCGAATTTCGTATTTTGCATATTTCAAGTTTGTCGCCTGAGTCTTTTGTTTGCTGTGATTGATTACCGGGATTAAGCCATAATATTTCGTGAATTATTTTGCATGACACAACACAACAAACACTAGTTAATTTCATTTGACTTGCCACGCAACTGGTGGTTAAAAAAAAGGAAAAATATATAAAAATGAAAAGAAAAAGTCTGAGGTAGTTAAGAATAATTGGACAACGGTTGCGTAACTAATTTTAAGAGTTGCATTTCAAGGCAATGAATATTTTTGTTGTTGTTAATTAATTCTGACTAATTGTTGGTAATTATGTTTTAGTTAGTGAGCTTAGTTAATGAAGGTCATTGATTAAATCTTAAGTTAATAATAAAGGCTAAGAATAAACCTATACCAATACACCATTGAAAACCATTCTGTATCTCAATAAATTCTGGCTTTTCTGTACTCCAATTAAAGCCTAATCATTGTGAACCTTTTCCCCCTGATTTAATCAATCTACTAAATCCTACAATTGTCAGGACTTAAACCAACACCAATCAATCTTAACCCAATTCTTTTGAAGCCCCTGATTGTTTATTTATTTGTTCGGTTTGTTTGCTGCGTGGTCACTCAACAAATTAAGGAGTTTGCCAAAGTCTTGCCACTTGTTGTCAGCTGCTCCCAGCAGCAGCAGCAGCAACAGCAACAACAATCTTGGCAAATCTGGCCATCAATTACGGCTTACAGCTCTCTGGCTGGTGAATTAAAAAAAAATAGTTTTCGGCCTTCCCAGTGGGTAAGTAGTTCAACAGTTGCCGCCGCTAACGTTGATTATGTTGCAGCTGCTGCTGATGATGTTGCTCCTGTTGTTGCTGCTGCTGATGTTGTTGCTGCTGCTGTAGTTGTTGCTGCTGCTGTTGCTGCTGTTGCTGCTGCTGCTGCTGTTGTTGCTGTTGCTGTTGTTGCTGCTGATGTTGCTGATTTTGTTGCTGCTGTTGTTGTTGTTGCTGTTGTTGCTTCTGCTGTTGTTGTTGTTGCTGCTGTTGTTGCTGCTGCTGCTGTTATTGCTGATGTTGTTGCTGCTGTTGCTGTTGTTGTTGCTGCTGTTGTTGTTGCTGCTGTTGTTGCTCCTGTTGTTGTTGCTGTTGCTGATGTTGCTGCTGCTGTTGTTGCTGCTTTTTCTGATTTTGTTGCCCGAGTCACTCTGTGAGAAATTGACTCTGAGCCCACGCCAATAGAACAGCAGAACGAGCTGGCTTTAGCTTGCCTATTTAACTGTTCGTCAGATTCTACAGCGTGCACAGAGAGAAATAAAGGAATTAAAGTACTCAAATTATATTGAATACTTTAAAAATGTATCTATACAGTCAGATAAATGATTATTACATCCCTTAATAATCCTTTAAAAAGGGTGTTGTAAAAATAGGTTAGGTAAATGTAAAATACTTCAACATATTTAAACAATTTACTTAGTAACTAATGTAAGATTGGGTTTAGATCTTAAATTGGTCTTAAAAATGATCAATTTCGTAAATTTTTAACTAGCCAACACCCTTAAATAAAGTCTTTTTATAATTAAAATTATTTAGAATCACAAGCTTGTGCACTTTCTTTTCTTTGCAGTGTAAGGGGGCGCGAAAGGTGTTAAACACACGCGCGAATTTTGCGGTAAAAGCTCTCACCGCACACACTGCTAGAAAAAGAAATGGAGTTGGAAATGGAAATGGAGATGAAGATGGAGAGACGGCGACTCATTGATAGCCACTTGGCTGAGTCTCTTGCCGCACTTCTCCTCCAGTCTTCAGTCTACAGCCTTCCGTCTTCAGGCTCCAGTCTTCAGTCCTCAGTCTTCAGTCTTCTAGTCTTCAGTCTCCAGTCTCTGGTGTTATCTATGTGCCAAACCTGATTTACTTCATGATTATGTTTGAAAAATTAGGTTAGGAGCAATGAACTTGCCATTCGTCAGAAGCTGGAATGGCAAACGGCAGACTGGAGAATTGAGAATCGAGAACCGAGAATTTAGAATTGGGAGAATCGAGCAGGAGACATGGGGAAGCGGAAGGTAACATAGTCACAAAGTGAATGCTTTTCTCTGTTTGCCTGTCAGTCTGCGCTCGCCTGTCCGTCTGTTTGTCTTAGTAATAGACACCTGTACAGGTCAAATTGGTCGGCTGTCTGAGAGCCATTCCGTTGGACTTTGATTGGTCCGCCGGTCGACGTTCGGTGAATGCCATTCTGCCAGGAAAGGATGGAAAGGCGGCTCCAGGAGAACTAGAAGTACAAAACTGCTATTTGCTATTTGAACTTAGCCGAAAGCTGTCTCTTCACACAGGCACTTTTGAAGTTAAACTGTTTGGAGTGGTGGAAAATGTGATCTAAAAAGGTTCCTAATAACACCATTAAATTTAATTAATAATAACAAGCGTTAAAAGATTCTAAATAACTCGATTTATTTATTACTGAAGGGGTATATTTTCGTATTAGTTTAATTATTTTGAAAAGCAAATAAATTTCCTTAAATTATACAATATTTTGCTAAGATCAAATTGAATAAATTGAATTTTAATTTGAATTTTTATTGATACCTATTGTTTTTTAGATACAACTTAAATGATTTATATCGAATCAATTTGAAAATTGAATTTTAAAACGTATTTTATTAATTTTTTTTGAAAGATGAGATAACTTGATATATGTTAGTGCACAAGCTCTTTCATAAAATAAATATTAAAAATAAATGACAATGTTTTAAATAGCCTTGTAACATATTATATAATATAAATACCGTAAAAATTAAATGCATTTTGGGTAAGATAACCTTAGTAACTATTCAATCACAAGGAAAAATAGGGTTCCAAAGTTCTCCTAGCCCTCGAAAAAGTTTTGGTAGCATAAATTAATAAATTCCAATTCCAATACACCAATTCTCCAATACATAAATTCTCCAATACACCAATTCTCCAACTCGCTGAAGGAATTCACTCTTTTTCCGCAATGAAATGAAAAATGTGTGCTAAGCCAATGACCGACAGAAGCAGCAGCACCAGCAGCAGCAACAACAACTAAGCCAACAGAGGCAGCAACAGCAGCAACAGGAACAACAACATTAACAACAACAGTGCAAACATGGCGCACACACAAAGGCAGAGCTAACTGTTAACACGAATACGTGTGTACGGCAAATTCGCAAATCGCACAGCGGTGAAAGAGCAGAAGAAGAGTGAAGAGACACAGCGGGAAGAATCGTGAATCGGCCATCTCTCCCCCTCTCCTCCGCTGTCTCCTTCCCACTTGCAGTGACTTCAAGTGTTTGTGTCAATCCCCCGTGCAGCCTACGCCGCCATCAGATTGCCGCTGCCTCGGTCGACGTTTGCTGCTAACGTCGCCACTTTATGCTTATGATTACTCTAACATTACAACAACATCAACAACAACAACAATATCAACAACAGCAAGAACACCAACACTCGCTGCAGCACTCAAAGATGCCAGCGAAAAAAAAACTAAGCCAACTCGCAATGTTCTACATTTTACTTAATACCAATTAAATGCGATTTTTTCACAACAACGGTAAGTGTCGAGAAAAGTGCGAAAAGCCAGGAAAAACTTGGAAAAATATGGGTTACATGAAATTAAATTTGAAAAATATATATTTAAAAATTTATTTAAATGCAAGAATAAAATCATTTATATATATAGATAAATATACGTCAAAATAGGTACCAATTAAGAAAACCATAAATAAATATAATAATTAATAAGAATTTCTTAATTTTTTCTTAATTACTCGAAACATAATTAAGAAAGAATTAAGTTTATAAAAAACGGTTTATTCAAAAGATGTATATAAAGGTTTTTAATCAAAGATAAGTAGGGTGTTTAAGAACACTTTTTTTTGTATATATTCCTTAATACTTTCTTGTTCTTATGTGGAATTAAATTTAATTTAAATTTAAAATTTATCAAAGTTATGAACTTTATAAAAAGAAAATACAGAACCGATTTCGAAACGGAAATAAGATTTATTTAGAAACTATTTGACTACCATTTTCAAAAAGGAAATAAAATTAATTAAAATCAATTAATCATTCCATAATGACTTATTTATAAAAAGGAAGACATTAGCCACTATTAAATATTTCCTTTAAAGGAAAA